GAAAATGGCCAATGCTCTACATGCTTAGTATCATCTGATCCCTTTTGTGGTTTTTCAGCAGATGAGCATGCCACCAATAAGACAATCTTCCTCTCAACAGGACCCATTGCAGTCACCTCAAGTGCAGCAGGTTGATCGATCTTCTGTTTTGTTTCTTGGTTATGTCAGTGTTTCTTGTTACCATATGCTGCCAACTGATCTTAATACAGATTCATAGGAATTTATTATGGGAATTTACCTTTTATCACCCCTAATGATGTGAATTGATGACTATTCTGATTATTGTGTCAGAACAATCGTAAAAGAAAAGGACCATCTTCTGGACCTGCTAATAGCACTGGCACTGGAAACACAGTGGGTCCTTCCTCAAACTCTCAGCCATCAACCCCGTCAACTCATACACCTGCTGAGGGAGCAGCTATGGTGGGAAATATGCAGCATGGTAGTAGCTTGTCAAAAAAAATGATGTATGGATCTGATGGAACAGCTGGTATTGCATCATCAACCAATCAACTGGTAACTAATGCTAATTTATCGCTAACCTGATGATGTTAAGTGAAAGCTTTAAATCTGCAATATTAATAACCCTAAGGTTTCCTGGATTCATGCAGCTTGCATAAATTTTTAGATACTAATTTGGTATAATTACCAAGTGTTATTATATGCATGAGCAAACAGTGGTTGACTTGTTTCCTCTATGTAAAGCAAGTGAAGCTTTAAATTTGAGTCCCCACCTTATGACCATGGTTATGTTTATTCTCGTCAATCTATGAGGCACGGCTATTTTCTTCTACTCTATTATATTGCTATCAGAGTTATTACTTATGTTCCAAATATATTTTTTACTTTCAAGTTGTTCCAAAAATGATAAATAAGTAGTAAAAAACATTGGATATTTGACATTTTCAATGGTTTGGAGAACAAATGCTCAAATATCTTGTTTTTCTACCATCTGAAATGTAGATCTAGAGTGGCCTTCTCATCACATTTCATGCAAAATAACTGGCAATTATTGGTGGTAATGTTGGTCACTAATATTATTTTGTCGATATCCAATTATCCATGCTTAATATCGTCGGAGTGATGAATGTTAAAAGCATTGCTTCTATATCTTGGCTAAATATTTATGCCATAGCCTTGAAAGGGATGGGGACACGTTATCCCTTTGCACCAACAATGTGTTTGACACTTCTATGGAAGTTGTTAAGAGCTTTGTATACCTTGTTTATTGTTATTTGAATTTCTTGTTTTTGTTTGCATGGTTATGGATGAATCTGGTTATTTTGATAGTAATTTTACGTGAATCATGCTGCTAGTGTTTCTACACTATTATTCTTCAGATAAGCCATTTAAAACCTTGTTTATATGATATAACTCCTAATTGCAGGAAGACATGGAAAATTTTGGAGATGTTGGCTCCTTAGATGACAATGTGGAATCTTTTCTCTCACCTGATGATGGAGATGGGGGAAATTTGTTTGGCACCTTAAAACGAAACCCATCAGAACATACTACTGAGACTTCAAAGAGTAATATTTGTTCATCATGCTCTTAGCAATCCAATTCTTCAAGTGACCTTGGCGATGAATCTTTTTTTGTGCATTTCAGATTTTGGCTTCAATGAAGTTGGTTCAATACGTAAAAGCAACAGCAAAGTCACCTGCTGCCATTTCTCTTCAGATGGAAAGTTATTAGCCAGTGCCGGCCATGACAAGAAGGTATAATGATATGTATCACACAAGGAATGTATTTTCTTTTTGTAGCACGTGCCACATTAGTTCAAATTATTAATTATTGCTATTTTATTGAATGTTTAATTTCCACATTACTTAAATTGAAGTATGGAATAATGAATGTGGTTGCTTGTCGATTTCCTGTCAGTAGGTTGTTCTGTGTAACATGGAAACTCTGCAGACTGATTGCACTGCAGAGGAACACACTCATATCATAACTGATATTCGATTCAGACCAAATTCCACTCAGCTGGCAACTTCTTCTTTCGACACAACAGTCCGTGTTTGGGATGCTGCACAAGTATAACTTCTTGCTCTTTCCCTTTTTAATTTTTGTGTATTTCTCTTGTATTGAATAGGTTTGATTGTTTCTCTCATGTTGAATTTATGCTCACACCCTTAAACCCGACACTCTTTGCTGGAAGACAAGAAGCAAATGTCTTACCATTATAGAGAAGATATAGGACTCTACTTCGTTGAAGTTTCAATGAATATTATGGTTCACATTTTGGCTACTTATATTATTTTTTTTTCACAGCCAAGTTATTCCATCTGGAAATATACAGGGCATACAGCACAGGTTATGTCCCTCGATTTCCACCCTAAGAAGACTGAACTATTCTGCTCTTGTGATGGCAACAGTGAGATTCGTTTCTGGAACATCAACCAATATTCTTGCACTCGAATCTCCAAGGCTAGCTTTTAAAACCCTTGAGCTCTTTTTCCTTTTCAAGTACTGCATGCTCATTTGTTTAGACGTTTTTCATCTAAATTCTTTTCACTAATTGAAGCAGGGAGGCAGCACTAATGTCCGATTCCAACCAAGAATAGGACAATTCCTAGCTGCTGCGGCCGATAATGTTGTGTCAATCTTTGATGTTGAGACTGACAGAAGAACACAGTTATTGCAGGTGAAGGAAGAATTTACCTTGTTCTGTGGTTTTGGATAATCGTTTTCGATAGTCTATGGCTTCATATATAGTTACTTTTGACACTCAGGGCCACAATACCGAGGTACACTCTCTTTGTTGGGACGCAAATGGAGACTTTTTAGCTTCTGTCAGCCAAGAGTCTGTCCGACTGTGGTCACTCTCCTCTGGAGAATGCATTCACGAGCTTAATTCGAGTGGAAACAAGTTCCATTCTTGTGTTTTTCATCCCAACTTTCCTGCTCTCTTGGTCATTGGAGGCTACCAGGTGCTATTTCCTATTCTTATCTTGATATAACTGGAACTAATTGATACTTGCATTCTATTTACCCGCTCTTTGACTCGATATTGTTGATAGATTTATGGCTGTCTTTTTGTTTTGGATTTGATACGAAATCATTTTTACCTTCATTTGTGACATATCCTCGTTGTTAATTTCGTTTTCTGTCTGTGTAAATATATTTTTCAGTCGTTGGAGCTTTGGAATACGGCCGTGAACAAGTGTCTTACGATTTCAGCACACGACTGCGTGGTATCGGCACTAGCACAGTCGCAAGTAACCGGGATTGTTGCATCTGCCAGTTATGACAAATCTGTTAAAATTTGGAAATAACTCCAATTCTCAAAAGAATCGGCCAGGGGTTTCTGGAGGTAACTGAAATGCAATATCCACGACATACTTTCCTGTTTAGTTGATTTTTTTTTCTTCCGTTGGATCGAAAATGGTGGCTTGCCGGTGTAGCAACGTAGGTTTGTGGGAGTGCTATATATACTAAATTTATCGAACAAAGTCGATATCGGTTCAGATTTTAGACATTTTTGTATCTTCGTTTGTTTATCCCTTAGAGTTCCTAAAGTGAGTTAATTTGACAAATAAAATAAAAGAGTGTATGTAATTGTGTGTGTGTTTTTAAGTACACTTGATTGTTTGAGAGTAGTTGAATCGTGGTGACGTTAATTTTATAATGTTGTAATCATGTTTGAAGTGTTATATAAAAAGTCACGTGCATTTATTTTGGATAAATTACAATTTTAATACATAAACTATTACTTTTGTTATGTCTCTAAATTTGTTCTTTAAACTCATATCTAACTTTTTAGTTTAAATTTTATTTTGATACTTCGTTATTGAAAAATTAGCATAATTGTTGATGTGGTTTTTTTTTATTTTCTTCAATGTTGATATGACATTATTTTATGATGACATGTCAGCATCATCATTAGGTATTTAATGGTGAGTACCAAAATAAAATTTAAATTAAACGTTAGGTATGGTTTTGAAAAAAAATATATTTAGATATCAAAATGAAATAATATTAATAGTTTAGGTATTAAATATGTGGTTTATCATTTATTTATTTTTATTAAAGTTACTAGATTATTAAGGTAAAATATACAAATGGCCCAGACTACAAGGTATTGTTTTATTGAATTCTTCGACCATTAAAAGTTATAAAATTATTTTTTAATTATATGACACTAATTTAATGAGTACTCTGATTATTAAAAGTTATAAAATAATCATTTAACTATTCCTATATTTTAAATTTGTCATTCGTTAAAAAAATTAATGGTTCACATAACAATTAGTAATTTATTTAAACTAACTAATATTTAATGATTATTCAAATAATATTAAACATTTAACCATATTCAATTTCATACCTCGTTATGTTTATCGATATAATTTATGTACTAAAAACAAGATTAAAAATAAATAAATTTTTACGTGAGTCTCCCGATGGTTAAAGAGATATTTGTTATATTTAAAGATTTCTGGTTCGAGCACATTGTCTATAGAAGTGTTTGCATTCTTTATCAAAATGATTTGGAGTCTTTTTAATAAATATTATGTTGTAATCAACTAATGATCTCAAATTAATTAAAATATAAATATATTTTAAATTAAAACAAATATATTGTTTTAATTTAAAATGAAAAATAGTAAATTATCGATAGAGTTGGTTCAAGTGGTAAACGATTTGATATCGTTTAAGTAGACATCGAGTTCGAGACTTAGTGAATGCAGAAAATCCCTATTAAGAGACTCATATTTTAAAGTTAAGTGTGCGACACGAGTCGATTTGAATTAATCAAAATAAAGTTATAAGGTTTGAAACTTAGTGTATGCAAAAAATTCTTATTAAAAAATTCATATTTTAAAGTTAAGTGCGGGTCGATTTAAATTAATAAGAAAAAAGTTCTAAGGAACTTGACGGGGAAATAAAAAAACATGGAAAATAGTAAAATAAACTTAAGAAATTGAAGCCCATAGGGATAGGGCCCAATATGACAGCTCATAAGGCAAAGCCTCTCTCTCTCTCATTGTCGCCTCCAACCTTCTGACCATTTTTAAAGTTTCACTTTCGTTTCCTTTCTCTGGGGTTTCAGAAGAACAAAAACAAATGGAAAAACAGGGGAGAACCGATGTTAACATCGATGAAAACCTAATTGAACCTCTGAAACACCACCACCAACAGCAGCAGCAAAAGCAACCACAACAAGCGGAATCCACCCTTCATCTTCTCTCCGAGGAATTCCTCGACGAGTTCCAGTGCTGCGTTTGCCTGTCAGTTTTCTTCTTCTTCATAATTCTCAATAAACCCTAATTTTCCCTATTAATAATCGTATATACGTTATTTCCTTAACCATCTGCGTTGTTTGTTTCGAATTTCTCATGGAAGATTGTAATCCAGAGGATTCTCTTTTAGCAACTATTAATGCAACTTTTAGGGACTACCTCGAATTTCTATTAGGCATTGAAGGAAATTCTTTAGATTCGAAATTACCGGATTATTATTGAGATTTGGGACTCTAGACGTTTCCATTTTGGTTCTTTGAAATTTTATTAGGTTGCTTCTGTCTCTTTTTTTTCTATATAAATTTAGATGGATTAAGATATTGTCGGATAAAATTTCTTTTTTCGACAAGCTTGGGTATATTTGGTGGCTGTAATTTTGACCTCAGCTCAGTGTATTTGTCTTAAGTAATGAGTTCTTTGGAAATTAAAAACGAGCTTATTCTTATTGGGGTTTATCTCAATATAGAAATAAACTTTTTCGAAGGCTACCAACGAATTCCGCATCTGACTTTTGGAACCGATTATAAGACCCTCTAAATTTGGTATTAGAAGCAAGTTCATGGTTGTCTAGTGGCTAGAAGAAGTGTTTTTTTTCAGAACTTTTGAAGTTTGAATGAAAATGTGGTATTATTAATTCCTGTAAAAAAAACTGTTTACTTTATTGCTGTGTTCTTTCATTTATTGCCATGCAACATATGAATCATTCTTTTCACTATGCTTTTTGGGTTTTTTCAAGCATTTTTTACGTGAATTATTACTGGAAAAAATCATATATCTATCAATGAGCAGAAGTGGATTGTTTACTCACCAACAGGGTTTAAAATAGCGGGACCAATCCGCTATTTCGCGGTAGCGCCACCGTCTGAAACCGAAATCCGGGAAAATAACGGTGGGCAGCGGATTCACGCCAAAATCGGTCAATCGCGTCCACAATCTTACGGGTAACGGTGAATAGTGCCGATAACAGGACGCTATTACCGTTATCTACCGTTAATGTGAAAAAAAAGTTGAATCAAAGGTTTTTTTTGTTTAAAAAGATGAAAGGTTGGAGGGAGGGGGAGTTGAGAGACTAGAGAGAGCTTTGCAGAGAGCTTTACCGTGAGATTGGAGAGAGCTTTGCCGTGGGAGGGGGAGTTGAGAGACCGGAGAGAGTTTGCCGTGGGAGGGGTAGGGGTATTAATCTGCGTGGGAGTGGGTTTGGGTGGGGGAAGGGGAGTTGAGAGACAAAGAGTGGAGAGATAAGTTTTTTTTAAATAATTTTTAAAATTATTTGAAGAGATGAATTTTTTATTTTTTTAAAATAAATTTTAAAGGATATATTAATTTGACATCCCTCCCACCTTTTAGAATTTATAATTTAATCCTTAGCTTAAAATGTAAACTTTTATTTTTATTTAATTTAGTCATAATTTCAGTAATATAATTTTTTGACATTTAAATTTTACATTTTTATTTTAATTATATTTAATTTAGTTATTTTGTGTTCTTTAAATTTATTCAAATTTCGTTCAACATGGTAAAGAATTTCTTATCTGTTGATACTATTATTTCTTTTAAATAATAATGTATTCAAAATCTCATCGTTAATTAATTATCTTATCCTATCATCAGATTTTTAAAGTCTTCTATTTGGTTAAACTATATTATATATATGTCATTTTCGCTTAGAAAACATTCTAAAATTCATTAAAAATGATTTCTTATAATTATAATTATTTTTATTATGTTTTAAGATGTGCAAAATTTAAAAAAATTCACGACCGCAACACCCGCACAGTGACCGCGATGTCATCCGTTATGTCCACAATCGCGATAAACGCGACGTGACCTAAAACGCTATTTAAATCCCTGCTCACCAATCTTATATAGTTTACTACTTTTGACAATTTGGGTGTACTTGGTAGTTATTGGTTTATTGAAGCTCTAAGATACATTTTAAAGGTGATTTCCTTGTGTTTTTCAGGGAACTAATTTTCAAGCCTGTTGTATTAGGTAAGCAAGCAATATGCTTAACTAAGTTTTGACATGTGAATTTACCTGTTAGCTGCCTTTATGTTCCATTTCTTGCAGCCTGTGGCCATATGTCATGCTTCTGGTGTGTCTACAATGCAATGAATCATGTTCATGAGTCCAATTGCCCCATTTGTCGGTGCCCATACAATCATTTCCCAAGTGTCTGTCAGTTGCTTCACTTTTTGCTCCTGAAGTTGTATCCTATTGCCTATAAGAGAAGGGAAAGACAAGTGAGAGGTGCATTTCTTCTTTCTCCCTTATTTAAGCGCCAAGTATTTGTTAATAAATTATAAGTTTTGGCTAGAATTTTTTTTATCATTTTTCTTAAAGACTTGTTGAAGCTTTTAAATATCCGGATTGTAGAAAAGTGGTTATTGTGATATGGACTTAATCTCTTCTACCCAGCAGCCAAAATAATAGTGGTGTGACGGAGTTCAACTTTGCTTGTAAATACCTCAGATACTTGTATGCTGTGATGATGTGAATTACCAACTATTTGCCAGTACTAACCTGCTCCTGTAAAATCAGATTTTCATTTGATGAATTAGTATGAAATAGTCTGAAAGGAAATGCTTAAAATGCATGGACGATGTAACCTTTACCAAAGTCCTCTTTGGTTGTTTGGAAGACTTGGTTGGGAAAGAAGTTTACGTGTTAGAATAAAATACACTGTGAGATGATATAAGCTCACCAAGATATTCTTCTTCTTATCAAGCGGGGAAACCTTTTTCCCCATGGACTCCCCCTGCCCTGCCACTTCAAGTGTTGGAAAATGATTTATTTTATTTTTTCCTTGTTTCAGAGGAAGAGAAGGCAGCCGGCCACTTCTCACTTCAATTTGATCAAAATTTACTTGAACCAAAGCTTTGTGAGAAGTCAGATATTTTGGGGAATAACAACACCCATTCTCATCTTCAAATGGATGGGCAGTCGGAAAGTGGTTCTAAGGATTCAGAATCATCCTCATTCAGAGATGCACCAAAAACAATCATGCAAGATGAAAGTGGTATACCAATTAAACCGATGTCATTTTCAGAGAGCCGTGAAGTTATATGCAATAAAACTTCAAAGGCACTCTTTTCCTCCTTCCAATGTCCGTTGAGTCTTTGTTGCTTGACGGTTATGAAGGGGGGTTTTAACAAGGCCTTCCTTTTTATCAAAAAAAAAAAAGAGAGCCGTGAAGTTGCTGCTGATGCTTCGAACCAAGGAAAGACTTCTCTAAGCTATGATTCTGAACATAAAGATAAAAAGGTGGTTTCTGTTGCAGATTTACTCTGTGCTGCATGCAATAGACTTCTCGTTCGACCAATTGTTCTCAATTGCGGTCATGGTAGTTGACATTTCGTTTAAACTGTTATTTCAAAAGTATAAAGGATTAGAAGATATTATTGTTGACTACATGCTTTGGTCTCTTCTTTGGTGCAGTATATTGTGAATCTTGTTTTGTTATTCCAAATGATGAAATGCCTAGGTGTCAAGTATGTAAAAGCTTGCAACCAAATGGATTTCCTGGAGTTTGTTTAATTCTACACCATTTCTTGGAGAATCAGTTTCCCGAGGAATATTCAGAAAGACTCAAAGAACAAAATTGTCAGTATCCTGCTTTCAGAATCATTTATGATTTTTATATCATATTTATTTTCAATATCAGTTACCTTAGGGTGATCTGATCATTTTATTATTCTGTATTGCCTTGCAAAATGATTTATAACTTGAGTCATATTATCTTTTTTTAAGGTTCTTGTGGGATCTTTATAAATATCTATTAACTTACTAGAGGCTGAGGATTTAATTTGTAGTTTAGCTTGTAGGCTTCATGTTTTCCTCGAGTATGAGTTTTAACTAACTTAGTTTTTTTTATAAAAGTAGGAGGCCTCATTAAAAACCTCCCTCATAGTAGACCCTTTCTCTAAGGAAAGTACCGACCAGCGGGAGGAGGAAAAGAGTACCTCATTTTATTAATAGAACAAAATTAATAAGACTTAGCAAGTACACCGAATACAATAGCTTCAAAAAACACAAAAAAAACAGCCTAAAGCAGTACCCTTACAATCACCCAATCCCCTCCTTTGCTAAACTATCAGCCTCGCAGTTACAAGCTCTTGGAATCAACCTAACTATAGACGCCTTATCTGTGACAAGTGACACAAACTCCTTTACTAGAGAACTAAAGAAAGTAGGAGCATAAAAAGGAGAATGAATCCACTTCACTGTAGATTTACAATCACTTTCTACAATCAGTCTACCTACAGGAGCCCAAACTGAAGAGAGAAAGATCTCGATGCCTCTTTTAATTGCTTTTAATTCAGCCACTGGTGGAGGGCCTTGACATACACTTTCAGAAAAAGTCAGTAGGGTGAAACAATTCCAGTCTCTTAAGATACCACCGATACCTCCTGCCAATCCGTCGAACCTTACAGCCCTATCAACATTCATCTTAAAAAATCAACTGGAGAGGGAAGCTAACATAGTACAGGACAACCCTGTGACTTTAGAACAGAATTGTTGTTTGCAAGGGAAGGATCTCCAATCAATGTATCCATTTGAATAGGGACTTGAGGGAACTTGGCTAGAAACTATTTTGCTAACTTAAATCTAACAATGAAGAAGAGTGACGGCCTGTCGAGTTTCGCGCTTTCAAAAACAGTTGAGTTCCTAGCTTTCCAAATGGACCAAAAAACAACACCCAAAATAAATTTCCAAATAGTCGATATCACCCTCAATTCAGACCAAGAGCTAAGCAGGGTAGGAGGATTGCGGGGCAAAGCTAAAGAAAGATCCCAAAAGCTGACTAATTTATTCCAGAGTTCCCATGAAACAGAACACGAGATGAAGATATGTTGTACTGATTCCTCGTGCTGACGGCAAAGTAAACAGAGAATGTCTTCTCCTAGGGGCATCCCCCTTTTCTTCAACTCTACTCTGACTGCCAATTTCTGATGAGAAAGCTACCAAAGAAAAATTTCAACTCGTGGAGGAGCTAAACCCGACCAAACCCACTTCTTCCAAAAATAATTATCCCCTTAGACCTTCGAAAGGGCCATTATGCAAGATTTTACCAAGAGCAGTCAATCACCATTCCTTGACCAAGATAAAAGATCATCCACTGATTCTGTCAATTTAATGCTATTCAGTTTAGACATTAATTCCACCCACTGGTCCATTTCCCAATCACACAAGTTTCTCCTAATTTGTATATTCCACTCCCATCCAATCGACTCATAACAACCAAATTCAACCACTTTACCCTTTTTTTTTGATAGAAGATCATAAAAAACCTCCTTTTTACCCTCCATGTTATGAAAGTAACCTGAAGGGTAATGAAAGGAGGAAAAGAGCGCCTATAATTTTATTAAACAGAAGAAAAGTACATTACCCACTCTTACAACAAAATAAACCTTCCCAGAAAGCATAAGACTTAAAAACCACTATCAGCTGGAAAACGTAGACACAAATTACATAATACTGAGAACAAAAACCTGCAGAAACAAAATGAAACATACACTCCAACTCCTCAAATACAAAGGCAGCTAATCAACCAATACCATCTTTAGCTAAACTGTCCGCTTCCCAATTGGCAGCCCTCAAGATTAGCCTTAACATAATATCCTTCCCTTCCATAATAGAGACGATCTCCTTCACCAATGATTGGAATAAAGGGGTGCTTAATTCCGGATTCTTAATCCACTTCAGCGCGTTAGTAGAGTTCGATTCTAAAATAATCCTCTGATTAAGAACCTCACCTGAATCAATAAGCAAACACAACCCTCTCTTAATCCACTTTACCCCTTTTATTGGAAGAAAGAGCAACAATCCTAGGAAAAAGACTTTTCAAAGGTGTATCATCTATCCAAGCATCAGTCCAAAAAGATATAGACTTACCATCCCCCACTTGTAACTTCAAATTAGATCTTAGGCACACTCCAGCCGAATCATTCTTCAAGAAGTTATTGACAATACCTCCCAAAATCCAAGAGGTCTGAGGAGAGAAAACCTTGCTGATTGACATGGTGTTGCTATTGATCTTGTGTTTGCAGCACAACATTTTTTTCAATAACGAATCATTTTCATTGGCAAACTTCCAAACCCATTTACCCAACAGAGCCCGATTGTTAAGATTCAAGTCCAAAACTCCAAGGCCACCATTATTTAACGGACGACATATTGTACTCCAACTCACCCAGTGAATCCGACTCTTCTCTACACTGTCTGCCCAAAGAAATTTAGCCATCAAAGAGTTAATCTTCTTGCTAATTTTGCATGGCATTTTGAAAATTGATAAGAAGAAGATAGGCAAGGAGGACAACACCGACTTCAACAACACTAATCTGCCCGCCATAGAAAGACAAGAAGCTTTCCATTCAGCCAGTTTCATGTTAAAATTCCTGATGAACGGGTCCCAATGGACTTCAGAATTCTTTTTTGCACCTAGGGGTAGGCCCAGATAGTTTGTAGGAAAAGAACTTACTGAACAACCAAAGGCCAATGCTCAATCATTTAGGTTGACATCTTCAACATTAATACCAAATAGTTTGCTCTTCACTAGATTCAGATGTAGCCCTGCCGTTATGGTGAATATCCTCAAAACTCTTCTGAAAATTTTAATTTGACTAAGAGAAGCTTTGCAAAATATAATAAGATCATCTGCAAACTGGAGATGAATCAAACGAAAAGGATCTTCCGACTTTTCGATGACGAATCCCTGAAAAAGGCCTAGATCAGCAACTTTAGACAGCATCAAATGGAGCATTTCGCCTACTATATTGAACAGAAGCGGGGAAAGACTGCAACCTTGTCTCAGCCCTTTTGCCATTGAAAACTCATCTGAAGGGGAACCATTCACTAGAACCGAGATTGATGCTGAAGAAAGACAATATGAAATCCACGAGCACCATCTCTCACCAAAGCCCATCTCTTTCATTGCTCTAAGGAGGATTGGCCATTCAACGGTATCATAAGCTCTACGAAGGTCAACTTTAAGAACAACCCCTTCAAGCCCTTGTTTCCTCCAATAATCGATACCTTCATTAGCAAGAAAAGCACAATCCAACAACTGCCTCTCCGGAATAAAAGCGAACTGTGATGGACTGACAATGTCTTTAACACAAGAGATGAAAACGTGTTCACGTCAAACCGGAATAAACAACTGCCTCCCTTGGACTAACTTAGTATAAGCATACTAAAACACATTTAAAATATTCTGTATTGTTAACTTGTCCACGTCAAACCAGATGTATGACTTACCTTGTGCAGTCATGATATTCATCAACTTGACTCGGTTGTGTTCAACTTTTTCTTTATGCTTAATGATAACTCTCCAAAAATGTTCTATTTCATTACTTTGTTTTTCTATTTTCCTCCTTTATTGCAACCTCTTTAATGGGTTACAAAAGCCACCAACAACACATACAATTTTTATATGCATGTCTTAACTAGAACCTCATCGATCTTTTGGTCAATCCAAGGTGCATTCCCCCAATACTGCAGCTAAGGATATTATGCCACACAAATGCAATAATGATACAGGAGTGGAAGAGCAAAATAGTTACTTAACACCTTCAGGATGTACCTGCTTGTGCCGTTCTCGACTCTGTTTCTGAAATACACATGCATATGTGCACACACGAAAAATTCTTCAATGGTTGATTTTTTTCTTAGGAAGGAAATCTTGAGGTTGTCATTTCCCTTTTCATACTGAACCTGACAACTAGGCACGCATGTATCTATGTTTTTAATGTCAATGATGCGCTGCAATGGCTTGAACTTCATAGTCTTTTTGCTTCTTTGTCTTGGTTTTTTTTATTTATAGTTTAACTCATTTCTGCTGTTTGAACTTAGGTTCAACACAAGCTCAACGACATACAAACCGGGGGAAATCAGTTTCTAGTGATGTCTACTCATCATGGTTTTTCGGAAATGGGCCAAAAGTTCATGTTGCAGTGGGCTGTGATTACTGTGGGGTAAGTTTGAATTAAAATTCAGTAATTTGCAGTATGTTGGCTTTAACTTAATAGGTTTCTGGAAGAAGAAACATTAATTCTAGACGTATAATATTCCTTTTATTTGTTTCATTGGTAGTATGAAAAGAGCAACTCTGTTATCAGAAGTGATAATTTCGTATTGCTATCAGAAGATGTGAAACAACCATTTGATGTCATCTACTATTAACCGATACTTGAAAGGAAAAAAGTCTCCTCTAATTACATGCTCGATATTTTAACTGTTTGTATATCTTAGATTGAGATCTACAATTATTCATTTTTTTTATCATTCTAAATTTGTATCATGTTTACCAATTTAAATATAAAAGTTACTCGAGGATTTGTTTTCATTTACTTGTATCCTTGCATTTTTAGGAGTCTATTGTTGTTATATATGCCTTTACTGGAAGAAAGGAGATCAACTTGTTTATCATAGACGACTTTACTCGTTACTTAATCTTGTTGTTACTTGTATTTCTCAACATGAATTTGGACTAGGATTACAAGAACCCATAAGAGTAAGAAATTACTTCTATTCGAAAATTGAGGAAATTTTACTAGTTTCTAAAACAATTACAAATAGTAAATGAACTTAAGAGCTGAGGGTAGAGGATAAAAGAGGATTTCCTGAATTTAGGGATATAAGAAAGATGTATCGAAACAATATGCTCACGGATCGAAAAGTGTTAAAACACTAGTCTATAGTTTGATACTTACACCGGATTCAAAATAACATAGGTTGTAACATGCCAAGTCTCGTTACATTCGGAGCACTTCGGGAAATTTCTTATATTTGATGCCACCCTAGAGTAGATATGCGTTGGTATGCATTTTTGCAATTGCAAGCTTTATGGTTGTTTATTATTGCTATAGTAACAAAAAACTGTTTGACGAATGCCCATATCGTACTTTTCTGTTTCAGATGTCTCCGATAATCGGGGAGAGATACAGATGCAAAGACTGTGTGGAGAAAATAGGATTTGACCTCTGTGAATCATGCTACAAATGTCCGGCTAAGATACCGGGCCGATTTAATCAGCAGCATAAACCATACCATCAATTTGAAATTGTGCAGCCATTAAGCATACGGGATCTTATGTTAAGGTTGAACTCGGAACAATCCGACGATTATGATGATGGGGGTTCGGATGCTATGGAACATATGGATGTTGCTTCGACATTGTTGGCTGGTGTTCAACTGGACGAAGGTAATAATGGTTCAGAAGAGCCTGAAGATATTTCTCCATTGATATTCTCAGTTGATGTGTCATTGGATCAGGATGGTGAAGCTGATGATCCAAGTGGTAATATATCTTCAGGTTTGACTTAAAACTAGAGATAATTGTGAAGGTTTTTAATGGATATTTCCATAATGCTAATAAATTACTATATCTTAAATGCCTTTAACCTTAATCCTACCTGATTTCGGCTCAGTTGTGGTTTGGATATTAATGGAATATATTCGGCTCCTTTTGGTCAGTTAATCCTTGAGGATTCGGGCCGCATATGTTAGGGGTATGAGCGATCATTGATTTAGGGTTAAGAGTTTTTGAATATATATTATATTGCATTCACTTTAGATATAAGCAAAAAAAATTATTATATAAAAGAAATATTTTATTTTTAAAATTATTGGGAAACAACCTTAGAAATATTTTGTATAAGGACTTTTACGAAAATTAAATTTTTTTTGATGAATCGATTAGTTTCAAGTTTGATATTTATAATATTTGGTTTGGGTTTTAAAAGTAAATCAGAAGTTCATTAAAATGATCATAAAAAATCACCTTGTAGAGGCGGATAAGGTGCCGACCTGATTTAGTGGTAAATGATTTATTAGTAGTAATATCATATTTTCCTCTCATAAATAAAATAAAAGGTAAGCTACATTGAATGTTATTCAATTTTATATGTTAATTTGTTTATATCATCGAATTTTTAATTTATTAATTATAATATTAAATTTTGATTTTATATTTAATTATGTTATTTTGACATTAAACCCATAATGAGACGATGATATGGTTAATTGTTGATGTGGTTTTGTCACACTAAAACGACGTTTTTATGACGGATGATTGATGTCCAAATCGATATCGTTTTAGGCATTAAACTTTAGGAGTGTATTGACTACTAATTTTGTCATCGAATTTTTAAATAATTTATTTTTTTTGGCACTGTACTTTCAGTTATCGTGGGCAACTAATTATTGGTTGTCACCGATCATCTTTTGCAACAAGGTCGGAATCAAAATGATTGTATTTAACTCATCCTTCTCCAAGGATTGACTTTTCGTGAAATGCAGACTTTTCGTGAAATACACTCAAAATTGATAAAAATATATTTAAAAGTTCCAACTTATTAATACTTTGATATCTTTTAATGACCGCCTGATAGGACTAGTTTTGAGGCATGTTCTTCGTCTTTTTGAAATAATACTTTTCACCATTTTGATTTTCAAACGAATACCCCAAGGCTCATAAATCTAAGAAAATCTCTAAACATCTAAAAATGATAGAATTTTTTAGATTAATTTTGTCGATTTTAAATGTGCTTCGTGAAAAATTAATCTCATAAAATGAAAGAGGAGTTAAATACAAATGTTTTAGTACTGATTTTGACGTGAAAGATGATTGGTGATGATCAATGATTGGCTACCTAATGGGGCCGAAAAGTGCAATGCCAAAAATATAGTTTTATTATTTTTGCTTGTTCTTACAAATCATTTTTGTTCGATATTTATTATCACGGGCTTAATTTCTATGTTCACCCAGAATTACTAAAATCTCGTAAATGGAATTGAATCTAACTTCATTTTAGGGTTTAAGAATTTCTTACGAAGCCTGGCTTAAAATAAATGATACCAAGCTTAAATTTAAACTTTAAGAATCTAAACTTAGTTTATACTAATACGTAAGAAATTTAAAAATAACAGAATTTTCTCACTTGAATGTTTAAACATATAAGATGGAAGAAATCTAAACCTATTTGAAGCCTAAAAGGGAAGCTTTTTGGTGTTTTAGTTTTTTTTTTATTAATTATTAATATAGGATAAGTATAAGATTATATTTGTTCAAAGATAATTATGTATTATTTGACATTGAACGCTCGTACCTGACATTTATGGTGCTCGAACCCGAAACCTTAAAAAATAATAACAATTTTTTTACCATTGAAATCGTTTAGTTCGTGTTTTGTGTTTTAGACTTAAAACATCCATTTTCCAATTTTCATAATAACCCAAAATCATATTGTTAAACATCAGTTTATAATTCCAATCTTATAGGTACTTGAAACATGCACCTTATCAATCCGTCAAATTTCACAAACAATGTATTTTTGGTTATTCACCATGTAAACCTTTCCCTTTTGCAATTTTATAGTTTAGTCTTTTTATTGATCAATTTTCAATTTAATTCATGAATCGAGCTATCCTTTAATCCAACAATCTTAATCGAATATGACACAATTTCAATTAATTAAATTAATATTTTAAATCCTTAAAATAAATTTCCGACCATCAACTTAAAAAAATTTAGTTCAAGAATTCAAAGATATTACATAGATAGTGGACTACTTGGAAATTTGACACAGGAAAAAACTGTGAAATGGTTGGATTAGTTATAGAAATCAAAATCAATTTATGTATTCATATGCTTAATATGTTATTCCAAATAATGTTACCTACAAGGTCTACATGAATTTTATCCAAGACTAATAGCATAACAAATACGGTAAACTACGTATTTAGTCATCCACCTAGTCTCACGGTCTTGTTTTGGTTACCCAATAATTATTTTTTTTTAAAAATCATATCAAACGTTAAGTTTTGATCTCATGTCGTTAAAAACTTAACGTCAATATTAACCTATCACCATAAGGTAATATCAAATCATCATTGAAAAAAATTTAAAATTATCACATCAACAATTCTATTTATTTTTTAATGACGAGTGGCCAAAACGTAATGCTATATATGATTTAAAAAAATAATTAGATGAATAAAATGAAACCGCGAGAATAAATAGGTGATTAAATACGTAATTTACCCTAACAAATATTACCTTGAGACTATAATAAGTGTTATTAAAAAAAGTTGATATGCTCAAATGAACAAGATTTAAAGCTTATGGTTTTAATTCTATGTCGGAATTTTCCGAAATATAATTTGGCCCAATTCATACAAAAAGCCCAAAATCAACAAAAAGAAATCTCAAAATGTAACTGCCAAAACCCTAATTATCTTCTTCATTTTCCCATCAGCAGCTGAGGGGAGAGAGAGAGAGAGAGATGGTGTCAGGGTCGGGAATCTGCGCCAAGAGAGTGGTGGTGGATGCGCGCCATCACGTGCTGGGAAGGTTAACTTCCATATTGGCCAAGGAACTGTTGAACGGCCAAAAGGTCGTGGTTGTAAGATGCGAAGAGATTTGCATGTCGGGCGGATTAGTGAGGTAGAAGATGAAGTATATGAGGTTTCTGAGGAAGCGTATGAACACTAAGCCCTCCCATGGTCCCATCCATTTTCGTGCACCTGCTAAGATCCTATGGCGTACCATTCGTGGGTATGTTTTCCCTTTAAAGCTTGCTTATAGGAATTTTCATTTCTTTTCTTTTTGTGCTGTGGAAGTGAATTTTTTGTTCTACATTTTTTGGTCTTTAATGCTTTGTAATTGGGGAAAAGTTCTATTGTGAATATTTGGATCAGACCTCACATTTTCATTTGAATATTGTGTTTAAAGTATTTTATATAGAATTGTTTTGACTCATTCTATGTATTTGCATCGTGTTCTTGTGTAATGCAATTGGGAAAAAGCTTTGTTGTAAATATTTGAACCAGCCTTTACAATTCCTGTGAATTATTTTATTCATAATTGTGTTTAAAAATGATAATCCTTAAAATATTTTTATATTGGTATATGTTTTGAAAAAGTAATGATTTTAATTATCTTGATTTCGACTCATTTGATGATATATCCATACCCTGTTCATAATTAACTCTTTTTTTTTTTGTTGAAATTTTTTAGTATCTTATTTGAAAGTAAGGAAAGACAGGAAATTTTGGGGTTCTGATTCATTGTGAGTTGTGGTTTTTATTCATTTAGTTATTGGAAGATCTTGTAAACAAAGAGATTTAGATTTTCAAGCTTTTTGGATGTATATTCTGTTACTGAAGTGTTGAATTTTGGGAACATACAAGGATGAAATGAAAAGAATACTTTATGAGTTTGCATGATGCTATAACTATTTGGGGTAATTATTTGGTTGATTTGATTGAAAAACCAATTGAACCGAATTCATTTGTAAAACTGAATTGGTTGAAATGAATTAAAGAAAAACTTAAGCAGGTTGCTTTACTCGATTCGGTCTGTGAATCTTATGGTGCAAATGAAGGTTATTTTGCTTTGTTATCGTTGATGTATTTATGGAGTATTTAGACTGTGATAATTGATTTTTGTTTTGTGTTGCAGGATGATTCCTCACAAGACTAAGCATGGAGCAGCTGCGCTTGCTCGATTGAAGGCTTACGAAGGGGTTCCAGCTCCATATGATAAGACGAAGAGAATGGTCATTCCCGATGCTCTCGAGTGAGTTTTATGAGATCAATTTATTTTGTGGAATATAGAAGTAGATTCACTTGCCTCATCGACTAGTTATGTTCATTGTTTTTTACTGTTCTTCTGGGTTTCAAATTAGGGTTTTGAGGCTTCAGAAAGGACACAGGCATTGCTTGTTGGGCAAGCTTTCATCTGAGATCGGATGGAACCATTATGACACTATCAAGGTGAAAATTGATTATCCTGTTTCGATTTATAAAGATGGAATCGTTTGTGTATATATGTATTCGATATTTGTAGCCGAGTCCAAGTAACATTTTCTGGTTTATTCTTTTTCCCTCCAGGAGCTTGAAAGGAAGAGGAAGGAGAGAGCTCAAGTGGCATACGAGAGAAGGAAGCAACTCACTAAGCTTAGTGTTAAAGCTGAGAAGGTTGCCGAGGAGAAACTCGGTGCACAGCTGGAAGTTATTACTCCGATCAAATATTGATTCATCGAAAACACTTCCGGGTGAAGTTTAATGCAAATCTCATATCAGCTCATAATCTTTTTAAGTAGATCATATGCTTATTCACATTTGTATGGCAGTTTTTGGTTGAATTCATCCATTTGTTTCGTGGCTTGAAAAGCATCATTTAGATTTTGGCATCCAATTAAGACCGGCATGAGTTTCGGTTTCTCATGTAGTCGTCTAAATGTTATACTTGTTTGATTGTTTCATTTTGACAGTTCGATCTTTATTCGGGCATTGGTATCGGAGTATAATTTTATAATTATGTGTAGTTTTTTCTTTAAAATCTCTTCCTAATAACTCATACGCAGACAGTGCTGGAAACGACGCTTTAAAAAATCTATTTCAGTATTTTAACCAAAATATTAACACAAACAACACTAAAAAAAATAAAGAAATTAAGATTAAGAATTTGTTCATATTTTTTTGGGATTTTTTTATTAAAAAAAACAAAGAAAGCATTGAAATTTGCTATTATACAACCATAAAACTTGATTAATGTTATGTGTAATTCTAGAATATTTACAGAATCGTCTCAAAGAACTTGTGGAAGATCTCTTCTTATCAACGGTTTCTATAAATTTTGTTTTCACGTTAACGGTTTGTTGGAAATTATTTTTAAACAATACTAAGGACAAAAATAACTAAAGGGTTTGTCTTCATGGACTTTACTTTCATTATCTTCAATGTTTCACATACTAATTTTCTTCTTAAGGGTCCAACCAGAGGATTGGTCATGTAACAACCCGGAATAAAATTTAGAGAAAAAAAAAAATTTAATTAAGTAATTTGGCAAAATTTGAGGATTAAATCGAAAGTTTTCAAAATTTTAGGCCATTTTAGAAGTTAAAGGAAATTCAGGGACCAAGCCCTGCATTACTCCTTTTAGTGTCGGCAGAAAAGTTCATTTAAGCGTATGAATGGTTTTCTGTTTTCAAAACAGAAAACAATTGTGAAATTTCTCCTCCCGCACTCTACTTCAAAGCCGATTCCGACTCCGTCCGAATTCCGATCGTTGTTTTGAAACCACCGTTGTGTTCATCATCGAGCGAGGAACAAACCCTTCAAATTAATTGAAGCGAAACGCGGCCAAACGTCGGGAATTTCCAGTCAAAGTAGCGACGGTTTTGTTAGCTCTATCGCCGAGGAAATCTTAAATTCACCGCTGATCGTTGCTCCGTTTACGACACCTCCCGCACCATCGTGTTCCTTGTGCCGTTCCGAGTTCACCGGTGTCAACCTTGTCCGCCGTAGACGGCGGCGCGTGAGGAGGTGGTGCAGTCAAAGATTCGGCCGATTTGAAATCGAGCTCTCCGCCGTTCAAAAATTTGAACCGATCGTTGTAAGTATCTTGAAATCGCTCAAAATAATTTTTAGAAATTTTTCCGGGATTTTTAGGGCCCCGGAGGACGCCTCACGCGCCACACGCGCCGCCGCAGGGCGAGTGGCTGCTGGAAACCGGTTTAACCGGTTTTCAACCGGTTCTGACCGGTTTGACCGGTTTCAACCGGTTCGAACCGGTTTGACCGGTCTGAATCGGTTTGACCGGTCCGACCCGACCCGACCTTTGACCCGACCCGACCCGACCGTTGACCCGACCCGACCCGACCGTTGACCCGACCCGACCCGACCGTTGACCGTTGACCGTTGACTTTCTTTGACCAAAACTTAAAATGGCTTTGACCGAGCATTAAACGACCGTTAATCTTTTCCGAGTATACCTATCCTGATAGTTTTCGACGTGCCGAATCCGTTTCCGTGGTCCGTTTTGTCAAATTCGAATCCGAAGGTCTCCAAATCTACGGTCAAAGTGGTTGACTTTGACTTTGACCAAGAATTTGAATTTTCGAAAAGTCATACTTTATGTTTTTCGACGCCCTGATTCCGATTTCGTAATCCGTTTGGCCAAATTCAGACTCGAAATACCTCAAATTGATAGTCAAACCCGAAAAATGCGTATATACTTAAGAAGTTTAGCTTTGAACAATTAAATAGGATTTGAGACTGATAAATATTATTGTTTGAAGGTACAAGAGACTCTCCGGATCGTTCGACAGCTCGACCCAGCTCTTCTAGATCAGTTAAACCACGTGTGCCAGTATTTACCCGTTCGAAAACTGTAGCAGAGCGTGGTAAAACCAGCAATCAGTAGATTTGTTATTTGAATCTATTGTCGAGGTGTGTTCCCTACTTGTTATTGAACTGTTTTATTGGTTTTAATACGTGGTACACCGAATTCATTGGCTATTGTTTTATGGATGCACCAATTTAATGTGACAATTTATGGAATATGGCTGCTATCTAATTTTGTTTTGAAATGGTATATGATTACCATGTTTTTGGATTTATGGAGTTTATGTCACGGTGCAATTGAATTTTGGAATTGAAATACGATGGAATAGCTCTGATCAAGCTAACTGGGCCTAATGTGACTCTTGAGGGCCCCAAGATGTTTCATTAGGTCGGCTTTCCTTTGCTGTGTGCTTAGGGTAAGCTATATGGACTTATTGACTTGGGCTTAAGGATACAAGCTTCAGAGCCTATCCTTAAGTCGGCTTTCTTTTTGCTATGTGCATAAAGTAAGCTATATGGAAAATAATTTTGGGAACTACTGATGGTGTACCAGAAAAGGGTTTAAACTATGATTTTCAAAAAGTTAAACTCTTTTACGAATTTGTGAGATTACTGGAATATGATTTGTACCTATTGTGATTTTATGGAAATGTTGGGACACACTGAGCCTAGCTCACCTTTTGAAAATGTTTTCCCCTTTCAGATACTGTTGGGTAGATACCTTGGTTCGAGCACTTGGAGGATCAACATATCTCTTGAAGTAAATCAGATTGTAATGTTTTTATCTGTCAAGTTTACTTTATTTTGGTGACATGGACCTTATTTTAAAATATCGGATTTTATATTGATGGAATAACGGTTGCGAAAAATGTCTTTAATAATTATAATGTGATCCACTAGACTTAGTCGAAACGCATAGGCCGGGTCTAGGGGGTTACAGGTCAAGATTATTTATGACTTTAATAATCCAACAAAAAACAAAGATGTAAATATTATCATAATTTATTTATTATTATTTTAAATATTATCGTAGTTTATTTGGGACAAATATATAACTGAGATTTATAGTAGGAAATAGAAATATATTCATTGAAAAAACAAAGAATTAATATCAGCTGTCTATTTTAACTAATTCAATGATCTTAAAAAATATAAAACATTATTTTAAATCTTATCGTAATTATATCAATGCAAGTCTAGCTATAAATTTAAGTTCTTTTCAAGTTTTGGACCAAATTTAGCTTATATTCGAGCCAAATCAATTAGATTTTTTAAGTGAATTTATTCAAATTAAAATTTCCATCTTGATATTTTTTTAAAATCGAATAACTCGACTTGTTTTGCCAGCTATACTTGCATAGTCAAACAATTCTTATTTTTTTTAAATCATGTGGTTGCGTAATCGATTTTCATGGTAGTTGGGAGAACTTTTTGCCGTTGGCTGAATTTGCTTACAATAACAGTTATCAGACCAGTATTCGTATGGCACCCTATGAAGCACTCTATGGGCGTAAATGTCGCACTCCGATCTGTTGGACTGAGTTGCGTGATAGGAAAACGTTGGGACCTGAGTTAGTGCGAGAGATGGAGGACACAGTCAGATTAATCCGTGACCGTCTGAAAGAGGCATTTGATAGGCAGAAATCTTATGCAGATCAAAGAAGGAAGGATATACAGTTTGAAGTGGGAGATCGGGTCTTTTTGAAAGTTTCACCCTGGAAGAAAGTATTGAGATTCGGGCGTAAGGGTAAATTAAGTCCAAGATTTATTGGACCATTTCGTATCTTGAAGAGGGTAGGACCTGTTGCATATCAGCTTGAGTTGCCTTCTGAGTTAAGTCGTATTCATGATGTTTTTCATGTATCAATGTTGAGGAGATACCGTCCAGATCCAGGTCACATTATTCAGGTTGAAGAAGTAGAGCTAAGACCTGATTTGTCATATGAGGAGGAGCCCATTCAGATTTTAGAAAAAGATGAAAGAGTTCTTCGGAATAGGCGAATTCCAATGGTCAAAGTTCAGTGGAGTAATCGAGGCCCCTCAGAAGCTACTTGGGAGACATTGGAGTCAATGGAGGCTCAGTTTCCTCAACTATTCTCATAAGGTAAATTTCGAGGACGAAATTTCTTGTAGAGGGGGAGAATTGTAACAACCCGGAATAAAATTTAGAGAAAAAAAAAATTTAATTAAGTAATTTGGCAAAATTTGAGGATTAAATCGAAAGTTTTCAAAATTTTAGGATTTTAAAATATCGGATTTTATATTGATGGAATAACGGTTGCGAAAAATGTCTTTAATAATTATAATGTGATCCACTAGACTTAGTCGAAACGCATAGGCCGGGTCTAGGGGGTTACATTTATTGGTATCAGAGCATTTGGTTTTTAACCCTCGGACTGTGTATGAGTCCACATTGAAAATACGGTTTTGAAATATTTTACAAAACGAGTTACTAAGGCCATGTCACAAAGTTATTAAGATTTTAACTATGTTTGAGACTCCAAGTGCTTATCTAACCCTAAGTTTTATCTTCTGTAGTAAACTTGAGATCCATCAAAATGAGTGCTAGACGTAGTCGTCGAACTAGCCGTGGACGAGGTCGAGTGGCTAGATTCGCAGATCCGATCGATGAGATACGGGTAGATCCCCCACCTCCGATAGGTGATCATGCTCCTACGACCCCAACGGATCTGCCTCCTGCCGCTGGTATTGGCATGACTACACCGATAATAGGAGCGACCGATATTGAGTTAGAGTCTACCGGAGTTACTTTGGATGAGAATTTTGGTAGACAATTTCTGCAGTTAATACAGGGAGCAGTCAGAGCTACTGGTGTTGTATCTGAGGTTCCTATTTCGCAGACTTTGATTGCCAATGGAGTTAGAACTTTTGGGGGACAGATAGGTGGAGCTCCTACTGAAGCTGAGGATTGGCTCCAGGATACAGAGAGACGCATGGATCAGTTGGGTTTGGACTCAATTAAGAGATATCAGGGTGCTGTGGCGATGTTAGATGGCAATGCCTACACTTGGTGGGAGTCAGTGACCAGTAGTGTTCCTACCGATCGTTTGACCTGGAATTTCTTTAAGGATCGCTTTCGGAGCCGTTTTCTGGGAGAGCGCTACTTAGCTCAGAGACGACAACAGTTTCAAGACCTGGTTCAGGGAGACATGACTGTTTCTGAATATGAGATCGAGTTCCTGAAATTGCTGAAGTATGGATTCAGTATGGTACCTACGGAGAGAGATCGATGTCGTAAATTTGCCCTTGGACTCAGATACGAGCTGCGTAGGCAAGTTGTAACCCATCAGGATGAGATATTGATGTGCTGGTGGGCAGAGCCAAAGATGCGGAAGAGGTGGAGTTTTTAGCTTCTGGTAGAGAGCGTGTTGATCAAGATCGATCTAAGAAATTTTCAGGCCCGATGGAGTCATCAGCACAGTCCGGAAAGAGGACTCGTACTTCAGCTCCTCAGAGAAGCAATACACGTTTCAGGCCTGCAGCATCCTCACCTTTAGCTGTCAGTCGAGGCGGTTCTTCGTCGTATTATAATGGGCCCCTTTGTGAGTATTGTGGTAAACAACACTCAGGAGAGTGTCGTAAGAAGATGGGTCTTTGCTATCAGTGTGGATCTAGTGGTCATTATCGGAGAGATTGTCCTCAGTTAGTTTCGTTTGAGCAGACCACTACCCAAACTCCTGTGCGTTCGCAGACTACAGTACAGACCCCAATTAGAGATCGTAGTCAAGGAAAGACTCGAGGATCAGCGTCCAGGACAGATAGTAGAGCCCGACCTCAGCAAAATAGAGGGCCAACAGCTTCTGAGGCTAGACAGCCAGCTTTGGTTTATGCAACTAGACGTCGTGATGACAGAGATGAGCCTGAGGTTATTGCAGGTACATTTACTATTTATTCTATCCCATACTTTGCATTACTGGACAATGGCTCCACTCATTCCTATGTATCGAGCTCAGTATCTCGAAACCTTCAGATTCCGATAGAGAACACTGAAAATACTGTTACAGTTACGAGTCCAGTAGGACAAGCAGTATTAGTGAATAAAGTATTTCGGCGTTGCCCTCTCGAGGTTCAGGGAGAAATTTTTCTCGCTGATCTTATGGAGCTTCCTCTAGAGGAGTTTGATCTAATTCTTGGAATGGATTGGTTGAATAAACACAAGGTAAAGCTGGATTGCGAATACAAGCGGGCTACTCTGAAGACTTCAGATGGTCGGACTGTTGTGTTAATTGGGGAACGGCGTGGCTATCTCTCCAATATAGTTTCAGCGATGGAAATTGATCGTATGATCCGAAAGGGATATGAGACCTTCATTGCTTGTATTTTGAACACCAAAGGTGCATTGTCCACGATCGAGGAGATTCGTACAGTTAGCGAGTTTCCTGATGTTTTTCCGGAGGAGTTGCCTGGGTTACCTCCTGATAGAGAGGTAGAGTTCGAGATTGAGACTTATCCAGGATCTTCACCTATTTCTATGGCACCTTATCGTATGGCTCCAAAGGAACTTAAGGAGTTGAAAGTCCAATTGCAAGAATTATTCGATCGAGGATTTATCCGACATAGTACTTCACCATGGGGAGCTCCAGTTCTATTCGTGAAAAAGAAGGATGGGTCGCTAAGATTATGTATTGACTATCGGAAATTGAACAAGATGACGGTCAAGAATAAATACCCATTACCCAGGATTGATGACTTATTTGATCAATTGCGAGGAGCTACTGTATTCTCTAAGATTGATCTTCGTTCGGGGTATTATCAATTGAAAGTTAAAGGATCTGATGTTGCAAAAACGGCCATTCGCACTAGATATGGTCATTATGAATTTTTAGTGATGCCTTTTGGTTTGACGAACGCTCCTGCAGCTTTTATGGATTTGATGAATCGGGTGTTCCGACCATATTTGGATCAATTTGTGGTGGTCTTCATTGACGATATTCTGATCTATTCTCGTACGGAGGCAGAGCATGACGAGCATTTGAAGATCGTTCTGCGGACTTTGAGAGAGCATCGTCTATATGCCAAACTAAGCAAGTGTGAGTTTTGGCTTCAAGAAGTGTCATTTCTGGGGCATATTATTTCTGCGCGAGGTGTTCAGGTTGATCCCAGCAAGATAGAGGCTATTATGAATTGGAAACGACCTAAGAACGTATCTGAAATCCGCAGTTTCTTGGGCTTGGCTGGTTATTATCGACGTTTTGTTGAGGGCTTTTCGATCATTGCTTCTCCTTTGACAAAGTTGTTAAGGAAGAATGTGTCGTTTGACTGGGGCGAGGCACAACAGGAGAGCTTTGAGAAATTAAAGGCGGTTTTGACTCAAGCACCGGTGTTGATTCAACCACAGTCCGGGAAGGATTTTACAGTGTATAGTGATGCTTCACATTCAGGACTTGGTTGTGTGTTAATGCAGGAAAGTAAGGTGGTGGCTTATGCATCCCGTCAGCTGCGACCGCATGAGTGTAATTATCCTACTCACGATTTAGAGTTGGCAGCAGTAATTTTTGCCTTGAAGATATGGAGACACTATCTTTATGGAGAGAAGTGTTACATTTTCACAGATCATAAGAGCTTAAAGTATCTTCTGACCCAGAAGGAACTTAATTTGAGACAGCGTCGCTGGTTAGAGCTTCTAAAGGATTATGATTGCGTGATTGATTACCACCCTGGTAAAGCTAACATTGTAGCAGATGCTTTGAGTCGAAAGACGGTATCGGAGTTGAGGTCTTTAATGGCCAAGATGAATTTATATGACGATGGCACTTTGTTAGCAGAATTGCAAGTTAAGCCGACCTTGGTTGATGAGATCAAAGCTAAGCAGCCCCTTGATAGCTCCTTGCTTTCCATCTTTGAGCAAGTAGAGCAGGGGACAAACACAGATTACACAATTGATCAGGATGAAGTTTTATGCTTTAAAGGTAGATATTGTGTGCCTGATGACGCTGAATTGAGGCAGACTATCCTTACTGAGGCTCACAGTAGTCCATATGCTATGCACCCCGGAGGAGATAAGATGTACCGGAATTTGAGAGAGAGGTATTATTGGACTGGTATGAAGAAAGACATATCTGACTTTGTGGCTAGGTGTTTGACTTGTCAGCAAGTTAAGGCAGAACATCAACATCCATCAGGTTTGTTACAGCCTATCAAGATTCCTGAATGGAAATGGGAGCGTATTTCTATGGATTTTGTTACTGGCTTGCCTATGACTCCTTTGAAAAAAAATTCAGTTTGGGTGATTGTTGACAGACTTACAAAGTCAGCTCACTTCATTCCTGTGCGAGTAAATTATACTTTGGATAAGCTGGCAAGATTGTATATTTCAGAGATTGTCAGATTGCATGGTATTCCATTTTCTATTATTTCTGATCGAGATCCGAGATTTACTTCGAGATTTGGAAGGCGTTACATACGGCTTTGGGAACAAGATTGGATTATAGTACATCCTTTCATCCACAAACTGATGGTCAATCTGAGAGAGTAATTCAGATTCTGGAGGATATGTTGCGGGGTTGCGTAATCGATTTTCATGGTAGTTGGGAGAACTTTTTGCCGTTGGCTGAATTTGCTTACAATAACAGTTATCAGACCAGTATTCGTATGGCACCCTATGAAGCACTCTATGGGCGTAAATGTCGCACTCCGATCTGTTGGACTGAGTTGCGTGATAGGAAAACGTTGGGACCTGAGTTAGTGCGAGAGATGGAGGACACAGTCAGATTAATCCGTGACCGTCTGAAAGAGGCATTTGATAGGCAGAAATCTTATGCAGATCAAAGAAGGAAGGATATACAGTTTGAAGTGGGAGATCGGGTCTTTTTGAAAGTTTCACCCTGGAAGAAAGTATTGAGATTCGGGCGTAAGGGTAAATTAAGTCCAAGATTTATTGGACCATTTCGTATCTTGAAGAGGGTAGGACCTGTTGCATATCAGCTTGAGTTGCCTTCTGAGTTAAGTCGTATTCATGATGTTTTCATGTATCAATGTTGAGGAGATACCGTCCAGATCCAGGTCACATTATTCAGGTTGAAGAAGTAGAGCTAAGACCTGATTTGTCATATGAGGAGGAGCCCATTCAGATTTTAGAAAAAGATGAAAGAGTTCTTCGGAATAGGCGAATTCCAATGGTCAAAGTTCAGTGGAGTAATCGAGGCCCCTCAGAAGCTACTTGGGAGACATTGGAGTCAATGGAGGCTCAGTTTCCTCAACTATTCTCATAAGGTAAATTTCGAGGACGAAATTTCTTGTAGAGGGGGAGAATTGTAACAACCCGGAATAAAATTTAGAGAAAAAAAAATTTAATTAAGTAATTTGGCAAAATTTGAGGATTAAATCGAAAGTTTTCAAAATTTTAGGCCATTTTAGAAGTTAAAGGAAATTCAGGGACCAAGCCCTGCATTACTCCTTTTAGTGTCGGCAGAAAAGTTCATTTAAGCGTATGAATGGTTTTCTGTTTTCAAAACAGAAAACAATTGTGAAATTTCTCCTCCCGCACTCTACTTCAAAGCCGATTCCGACTCCGTCCGAATTCCGATCGTTGTTTTGAAACCACCGTTGTGTTCATCATCGAGCGAGGAACAAACCCTTCAAATTAATTGAAGCGAAACGCGGCCAAACGTCGGGAATTTCCAGTCAAAGTAGCGACGGTTTTGTTAGCTCTATCGCCGAGGAAATCTTAAATTCACCGCTGATCGTTGCTCCGTTTACGACACCTCCCGCACCATCGTGTTCCTTGTGCCGTTCCGAGTTCACCGGTGTCAACCTTGTCCGCCGTAGACGGCGGCGCGTGAGGAGGTGGTGCAGTCAAAGATTCGGCCGATTTGAAATCGAGCTCTCCGCCGTTCAAAAATTTGAACCGATCGTTGTAAGTATCTTGAAATCGCTCAAAATAATTTTTAGAAATTTTTCCGGGATTTTTAGGGCCCGGAGGACGCCTCACGCGCCACACGCGCAGCCGCAGGGCGAGTGGCTGCTGGAAACCGGTTTAACCGGTTTTCAACCGGTTCTGACCGGTTTGACCGGTTTCAACCGGTTCGAACCGGTTTGACCGGTCTGAATCGGTTTGACCGGTCCGACCCGACCCGACCTTTGACCCGACCCGACCCGACCGTTGACCCGACCCGACCCGACCGTTGACCCGACCCGACCCGACCGTTGACCGTTGACCGTTGACTTTCTTTGACCAAAACTTAAAATGGCTTTGACCGAGCATTAAACGACCGTTAATCTTTTCCGAGTATACCTATCCTGATAGTTTTCGACGTGCCGAATCCGTTTCCGTGGTCCGTTTTGTCAAATTCGAATCCGAAGGTCTCCAAATCTACGGTCAAAGTGGTTGACTTTGACTTTGACCAAGAATTTGAATTTTCGAAAAGTCATACTTTATGTTTTTCGACGCCCTGATTCCGATTTCGTAATCCGTTTGGCCAAATTCAGACTCGAAATACCTCAAATTGATAGTCAAACCCGAAAAATGCGTATATACTTAAGAAGTTTAGCTTTGAACAATTAAATAGGATTTGAGACTGATAAATATTATTGTTTGAAGGTACAAGAGACTCTCCGGATCGTTCGACAGCTCGACCCAGCTCTTCTAGATCAGTTAAACCACGTGTGCCAGTATTTACCCGTTCGAAAACTGTAGCAGAGCGTGGTAAAACCAGCAATCAGTAGATTTGTTATTTGAATCTATTGTCGAGGTGTGTTCCCTACTTGTTATTGAACTGTTTTATTGGTTTTAATACGTGGTACACCGAATTCATTGGCTATTGTTTTATGGATGCACCAATTTAATGTGACAATTTATGGAATATGGCTGCTATCTAATTTTTGTTTTGAAATGGTATATGATTACCATGTTTTTGGATTTATGGAGTTTATGTCACGGTGCAATTGAATTTTGGAATTGAAATACGATGGAATAGCTCTGATCAAGCTAACTGGGCCTAATGTGACTCTTGAGGGCCCCAAGATGTTTCATTAGGTCGGCTTTCCTTTGCTGTGTGCTTAGGGTAAGCTATATGGACTTATTGACTTGGGCTTAAGGATACAAGCTTCAGAGCCTATCCTTAAGTCGGCTTTCTTTTTGCTATGTGCATAAAGTAAGCTATATGGAAAATAATTTTGGGAACTACTGATGGTGTACCAGAAAAGGGTTTAAACTATGATTTTCAAAAAGTTAAACTCTTTTACGAATTTGTGAGATTACTGGAATATGATTTGTACCTATTGTGATTTTATGGAAATGTTGGGACACACTGAGCCTAGCTCACCTTTTGAAAATGTTTTCCCCTTTCAGATACTGTTGGGTAGATACCTTGGTTCGAGCACTTGGAGGATCAACATATCTCTTGAAGTAAATCAGATTGTAATGTTTTTATCTGTCAAGTTTACTTTATTTTGGTGACATGGACCTTATTTTAAAATATCGGATTTTATATTGATGGAATAACGGTTGCGAAAAATGTCTTTAATAATTATAATGTGATCCACTAGACTTAGTCGAAACGCATAGGCCGGGTCTAGGGGGTTACAGGTCAAGATTATTTATGACTTTAATAATCCAACAAAAAACAAAGATGTAAATATTATCATAATTTATTTATTATTATTTTAAATATTATCGTAGTTTATTTGGGACAAATATATAACTGAGATTTATAGTAGGAAATAGAAATATATTCATTGAAAAAACAAAGAATTAATATCAGCTGTCTATTTTAACTAATTCAATGATCTTAAAAAATATAAAACATTATTTTAAATCTTATCGTAATTATATCAATGCAAGTCTAGCTATAAATTTAAGTTCTTTTCAAGTTTTGGACCAAATTTAGCTTATATTCGAGCCAAATCAATTAGATTTTTTAAGTGAATTTATTCAAATTAAAATTTCCATCTTGATATTTTTTTAAAATCGAATAACTCGACTTGTTTTGCCAGCTATACTTGCATAGTCAAACAATTCTTATTTTTTTTAAATCATGTGGTATTCTATTATGGAACATTGTATTTTGAACTAGTTGGGAAAGCTTTAACAATTGGTGAAGAATGATGGGATTCATACGCATAAATCACTATAGTTTATTACAACGCATAAATGCATGGGTGGGATGAGGTATATGTAACTACAACGCATGCATAACAAATTTATAAATAATAATGCTTGCGTTGCCTGCCCTGCAACTTCACATTTATATTATATTCATATAGTTTAGTGTGGCAAACGATCTCAATAGTTAAAAGAATAATTGTTATTCGTACAGATTCGGGTTCAATTACGGCATTTATAAGAGTGTTTAAGGTTCATTGTCAAATGAGTTATAATCTTTCAAACATATATTACCTTATACTCACCTCAGATTAATCAATATATATATATATATATTATTGTGCTTGATTTTATTTAAAATATACTTTTACAGATTTTAATAGTTTATATTTTTTAAACAAATATTTATATTTTGATTTGTTTTATTATAATATATCATATTTCATTTTAGGGTAAAGTACATAAATGATCTTCCGATTATAGGATATTGTTTTATTGATTCTCTCAACTATTAAAAGTTACAAAATGGTCCCCCGACTATAGGGTGTTGCTTTATTGAGTCCATCAACTATTAAAAGTTACAAAATGGTCATCTGACTATTCATTATGTTTCAAACTCATTCTTTCCCGTTAAAAAAATGATGGTCGTTTGAGTTAGACGTTAACTTGCTGACGGGGATATGATACTCGTTTGAAACTATGAGATTATATTTTATCATATATGAGGCAGCATGTTAACTTCCAGCTCAATCTACCGTTAATTTTTTAACAAAAAAAGACCAATTTGAAACATAATGAATAGTCGAGGAACTAAACAAAACAACATCCTACATTCTAAGACTCAATAAAATTATATCCTATAGTTAGGGGATCATTTGTGTATTTTACCCTTTATTTTAGCAAATTTTCGTGTCCCGGGAACGTGAATAACCTAACTTTCCTCCATAGAATTATGAAAAATGAAACGGTTTTATTTATGAAAAAA